CTTGTAAGCTGCTTTTTTGTCAAGCATTTATAAGGGACGTATAATTTTGGTTTGCTCGGTTACTGGAGCTGTTGGTCGGTAACCGGTCGGTCATCGAGTTTGGGTTTTGTTGTCATGATGGCTCAGCAGTGGGATCAATAGATAAATTAGAGATATTAGAAGAAGCTTTCTTTCATTTAGAATAACATTAGTATTGACTGGACTTAATCTTTTCATCTTTTGTCGTAGGCGCTGGCTGGTCTTGTAGCTATCACGGGCTTCAAATCATCCTGCGCAAGTGCTCGACTTTATTATTCATCCACTCCGTTATTCCCGATCTATCCACCACCACCACCACCACCACCACCACCACCTCTTTCTTCACCACATCCTCCTCCTCCTCCCTCTCTCATCCTCACAACAACACCCAAAATGTTGCGCAGACTATCAACTCGAGCTCCCCAGCGCCTCCTCTCCGCTTCCAAGCCCCGAAGCCTAGCACCCCTCCTCGCCATCCGCGCCATATCCACCACCCCCGTCGCAAAGATGTCGCAGCTCAGCACGCACGCTTCACAACCCGCCGACGCATTCCAGCTTCTGCCAGAGTCGCAAAAGGCCGGCGAGGCGGAGGATAGGCTGTATGAAGCCACCGTGAAGGAGATCGAGGCGTGGTGGGCGTCGCCGAGATATCAGGGTATCAAGAGGCCGTACAGCGCGGAGGATGTTGCGTCCAAGAGGGGCACGCAGAAGGTTCAGTATCCTAGCTCTGTCATGGCGCAGAAGCTGTTTAATCTGATCCAAGAGCGCGTGGCCAAGGGCGAGCCTATTCATACCAGTAAGTCTCCCACGATGCTCAAAAAGTGCACAGCTAACAGTTTGTAGTGGGCGCAATTGATCCTGTTCAAATGACCCAACAAGCTCCTCACCAAGAAGTCCTCTACATCTCAGGCTGGGCCTGTTCCTCTCTCCTGACCTCTACCAACGAGGTATCCCCCGACTTCGGCGACTACCCCTACAACACCGTTCCAAACCAAGTCCAGCGTCTAGCCAAGGCGCAGAACATGCACGATCGCAAGCAGTGGGACCTTCGTCGCAAGATGACAGCCGAGGAGCGCACAAAGACACCATACGTCGACTACCTCCGCCCTATCATCGCAGACGGTGATACTGGCCATGGTGGTCTGTCTGCTGTTCTTAAGCTCGCTAAGCTGTTTGCTGAGAATGGTGCTGCGGCTGTTCACTTTGAGGATCAGCTCCATGGTGGAAAGAAGTGTGGTCATTTGGCGGGCAAGGTTCTCGTTCCCATCGGAGAACATATCAACCGTCTTGTTGCTACGCGCTTTCAGTGGGATGTCATGGGCTGTGAGAACCTCGTCATTGCACGAACAGACTCTGAGTCCGGCAAGCTTCTCTCATCAGCTATTGATGTTCGCGACCACGAGTTCATCCTCGGTGTTTCGGACCCTTCCATTGAGCCTCTCGCTGAGACCATCCAGGCTATGGAGGCCAAGGGTGCTGTTGGCGCTGAGATCGATGCTTTTGAAGCTCAGTGGGTCAAGAACACCAAGCTCGTCACCTTTGACGAAGCTGCCGTCGCACACATGAAGAAGGAGGGCGTTTCACAAGCCAAGATCGACGAGTATCTCGCCGAGACCGAGAAGGACCGCGACATGGGTATCTCCCGCCGTCGCGGCCTTGCAAACAAGTACACCAAGGAGCCTGTGTACTTCAACTGGGACGTCCCCCGTACCCGCGAAGGTTTCTACCACTACCGCGCTGGCATGCAGGCGGCTACCAAGCGCGCTCTTGCATTCAGCCCCTACGCAGACCTTCTCTGGGTTGAGACAGGAGACCCCAACGTCGAGGTAGCTACTAAGCTAGGCCGCGCTGTTCGCGAGGTCAACCCCAACAAGGGCCTCGTGTACAACCTCTCTCCCTCGTTCAACTGGATGGCTCACGGTTTCACCGATGAGACTCTCAAGTCGTTCATCTGGGACATTGCCCGTGAAGGATTCGTTCTGCAGCTCATTTCCCTTGCTGGCCTGCACTCCAACGCTACAATCACAACTGAGCTGTCGCGCGAGTTTAAGAAGGATGGTATGAAGGCTTATGTTGATATTGTGCAACGCCGAGAGAAGGATCTTAAGTGCGATGTTTTGACACATCAGAAGTGGAGTGGCGCAAGCTACATTGATGGTATTCTGGGCGCTATCCAGAGTGGAAGCTCAAGCAGTAAGAGTATGGGCGAGGGAAACACTGAGGGACAGTTCCATTAGAGGGAGGCTAAGAGAAGGAAAAGCATGAATCGGAGTTTGGGTATCTTTTTGTATATTGACGAATGCTTTACAAATGATGTTGTATATGATCAGCCAGGTTCATCCTCGCGAGTGACGGCACGCTTATTGTGATGTGACAATTTATTTCATTATTGAATCATACTAATCGTTACTACAGATATCCCAGCTAAACCCTTCAAATCTTTTCATCCTTACAACGAGTCCTTGGTAGCATTGTTCTCAGGAGGAGGATGCGCAGGTCCCTCAGCAGTAACATAGCACTTGGTCATACCACCATCAACCGCGAAATCATGTCCATTAACAAAGCTCGACTCATCACTGGCCAAGAACAAAACAGCCTGCGCCTGCTCAACAGCCTCACCAAACCGCCCCATAGGGAAGTGAACCTCACGTCTGTGACGCTTCTCCTTATCATCACCGAGCCAGTCCTGCAGGAGCGGTGTGTTAAGTGGTGCAGGGCAGAGGTTGTTGAACCTGAAGCCCTCGCGGGCGTGCACCATGGCGAGTTCACGGGTGAGCGCGAGGACAGCGCCCTTGCTGGCGGTGTAGGCGAGCTGGGGTGTGGCGGCGCCGACGAGGGCGACGACGGAGGCGGTGTTGATGATGGAGGCCTTTGTCTTCTTGTTGCGGCGCAGCGAGAGGACGGCATGCTTGCAGCCGAACCAGACGCCCTTGACGTTGATGTTCTGGGTCAGGTCCCAGATGTTCTCGGGGGTGTTGACGGCGTCGTCGTCCTGGGCGTGCATGATGCCGGCGTTGTTGAAGAGGACGTCAATGCCGCCCCAGGAGTCGAGGGACTCGATCATGGCCTGGACTTCTGATTCCTTGGAGACATCGACTTTCTGTTACGAGTCAGTACTGCTGTTGGTGTGGTGGGGGAGGGTATTGGGACGTACGAGGATCTCAACGCGGGGAGCATTGGGGACGAGCTGCTTGACCTTTGCGGCGGCCTTTTCGAGAGCAGGCTGGGAGATGTCGGACATGAGGATGGAAGCGCCCTCCTTGGCGAAGAGAATGGAGGTCTCAAGACCAATGCCACTGCGATTGTCAGTATCGTATCATGCACCACAGCAAGACAAAGAGACATACCCTCCAGCGCCAGTGATGACGGCGTTCTTTCCAGCGAGACGGCCCATTGTGAATATGTGAAATAAGTTTTGAGAAAAAGACGAAGAGTGATAAGAGAGAAGAATCGATGTATGAAGAAAGAATGGCAAGTAAAGCGGTGGGTATCTCGTGAAAAATATATAGGATTCTGATGGGATGGACGGTGACACAATGAGGGGCAGAGGGGTCCTTAAGTTATTCCTTAAGCTTCCGTCTTATCGAAAGCGTCTGGAAGCTCCGATAAGCTGGAATGGGAAAAAGGGCGGTAGAGCTAAGGTCGTCTGATGCTCGTGGGCCAGTCATGGGAAAGATCGTGGAGATGGCATAGGTAATTCCGAGAACGGACGAGGGCGGTTGGCGGTTGCAGTGGAGGCTGTCATCGCGGCTATTATTAAAGATTGAGGGACAGTTGATGGGTACAGTATTAGTGGTTTGGTCAACTGTATGGGTCGTCATGGCTGAGGTGAGGTGAGCTGGGCTGAAGAGCTGGAGGGGAGCTTATCAGTGAGGATATGATATTGATAGAGATGCATGAGCTTGAAGATGATAACAAATGTGTTGAGTTCAATGCTGTCTTACAAGTAGTTCTACTTCCATCAGACATGTTCATCTGATCCAGTCAATTCAACACAGTCATAGCTTATAATCTCAGCCTCATCATCACAACCTCAGCTCCCAATTCTCATAAAATACTATCGCAATGTCAACAAACTTCAGATCTAGGGTCCTTTCTCGGTATGTCAGATCTCAAGCTTGCAGCTGTGCCACTGCCACGCAACACCCCTGCCACTAGCGATGTCGGCTCTCTAGCTCAGGTCACGAGAACATCAAACTACGAGCCAAAGCATAATCTCACTCTCCCAACATAATCACAACACGCGGTTACCTTCAATTGCACAACAGGGCGCGGTTACATTTCAGATTAAGAACGGCAATTGAAGACGATACCTAACTTGAAGAGTATCGGAACGCGGCATTGCAGCGAACCGCCCGTATCGTGAAACTAATCTTACCCCATGTCATGTTCATGTCCCTTGGCCAAAGCTTCAGGATCTAGATCGCGGGGTTGGCTGAATGACACTTCCAGCGCGGCAATGAAGCTATTCCAAACCCTGCTCCCACTAGAACCTCCCAGTCCCAGATAAGCCCCCCCCCTCCCCCCCGCTGCTTCGCTCAATTGATACTAGCCCTGCATCGCGCACCGAACATCACAGCTCCCCACTCTTTTTCTGTAGAGTCTACGTCACTGAAGCATTCATTGTCTTATCGTCGCATTCGTCTTATCGTAGCCGCGCTGCCCATATTCCCAGTCCCAGTCCCAGTCTCAGTTGATACAAACCTGTTTACTTGTCTCACTCCCCCTCTTTCCATAGGTAGTCTCAAATACTACAGTATCTCTCTAAATCTTGGCTGCTGTCCTCCCCGCATTCATCATTGTTGATCTTTCTTGGACCGCGCGCATCTTTTCAACGGCTTGACCTCAAACTCCACCGTTGCTGAGCTGTATAACCCCGAAGAACATCCTTTTCTTGTTATAACAAAAGCATACTGCGCATTTCTTCCATCTTTACAGCTTCAAACCCTCACTTTCTTCATCATCATCTCACTCCCTTCACCATGGCTTCTCCAGACCCCAAATCCATCACCGTCGACTCCCTCCCCCAACTCCTCCAAAATGACAACATGGTCAAGCTCGCAGGCGTGGACGTCGACGGCATCCTGCGCGGCAAGCTAGTATCCAAGAAGAAGTTCCTCTCCATCGCTGAAGCCGGCTTTGGTTTCTGCTCCGTCATCTTTGGCTGGGATATGCACGATCGCACATATATCCGCGAGCTCAAGATCTCAAATGCTGAGAATGGATACCATGATCTTCTCGCTATTCCAGATCTTTCTACCTTTAGGAGAATTCCATGGGAAGATGACGTTCCCTTGTTCTTGGTGGACTTTTTGGATCCTGAGACCAAGAAGCCTATTTGTGCTTGTCCCAGAGGTCTGGTTAAGACACAGCTTGAGAAGCTGAAGGAGCACGGTTATGGTGCCATGGCAGGCGGTATATTCCCTCTTCACCTCTGAAATTGAACTTTCGTACTAACAAACACAGCTGAATATGAATTCTACCAATTCAAGTCCCCCGACCCTTCATCATCCTCCCCAGCCGCATATCTCCAACAAAACCCCCCTCACCAACTCCCCGCCCTCACAGAAGGCATGTTCGGCTACTCCCTCACCCGCCCCGTCCACAACCAAGAATACTACTACGACGTCTTCAACACATGCGCCAAGTTCTCCTGCGACATCGAGGGCTGGCACACCGAGTCCGGGCCCGGCGTCTTCGAGGCCGCGCTCGAGTTTGGCGAGATCGCGCAGATGGCTGACCGTGCGGCGCTGTTCAAATACGTCGTCAAGAGCGTGAGCACAAAGTACGGCATCACGCCGTGCTTCATGGCCAAGCCGAAACAGGGCCTGCCTGGAAATAGCGGGCACATGCATGTTTCGATCGTTGATAAGGATGGCAAGAATTTGTTTGCGAGGGAGACTAAGGATGAGAATGCGAAGTGGAGTGATATTGAGAACCTTTCTGATATGGGACGTCATTTCCTCGCTGGCCTCCTCGTCGGTCTTCCTGACATCATGCCTCTCCTCGCACCAACCATCAACTCCTACAAGCGCCTCGTCGAGAACTTCTGGGCTCCCGTCACGGTATCATGGGGTCTTGAACACCGCGCTGCGTCAATCCGTCTAATCACTCCCAAACCCTCAGCAACACGCTTCGAAGTCCGAGTCCCCGGCGCAGACACAAACCCACACTTCGTCCTCGCGGCCATTCTCGGCTGTGGATGGCGCGGCGTTGAGAAGAAACTCGAGATTCCTACGCCTCCGCTTGCAATGGGCCAGGATGTCGGCGGTGACGCTGATCCGGGCGAGAGGTTGGCCAAGAGTCTTAAGGAGGCTACGGCGCGCTTCATGGAGAAGGGCAGTATTGCGCGGGAAGTATTTGGCGATGATTTCGTAGAGCACTTTGGCGGCACAAGAGAGCATGAGGTCCGTCTATATGACGAGGCAGTAACTGATTGGTACGTTCCCACTCTTCTCATCACTACTCTTTGACTTGACTGACAAATCGCAGGGAAATGAAGCGATATATCGAGACTGTTTGATTTGGATATCTGGAGTTGTTCTGTTCTCTTTTGATCTATTTTGTACGGGTACATGGGGCGTACTGTGGGCATCTCTGTAGCATGAGATATGCGTGAAGTGAGTGCATACGACGTGAGATGATCAAGTGTCAGGAGTCATCCTGATAGACGAATATACCTTTGACAGCTTACATCTTCCACATCTTCCGGTCGATTCATCCAGGCCAGTAACCGCTGACCCAGTACTTCATGCTCGTAGACCTCTGACCCGTTTAGATGCCTTGTACTGTATCCGAGGCGTGTAGTATCCAATTCCATCCGCCCATTCGTATCCCAGTAACTTGACTTGACTTCGATCACCTCGGCAAATCTCTTCCATAACTCAATCCGTGCCCTGTATGTTCCATATGGTATCCACTTCCCGTAGCGGGATATCCTCTCCGAGCTCATTGGTTTGCACCATTCCCTATTCTTCCTGACATCCGCCCCAGACACAATGCAATGCCTTTGACGCCGTGAAGACCCAAAAACTCCAATATATGCACATCTCTATGCCTATTCCTTACGAAACCTGTTTGCCGCTGACTTCCTTTCGAGCCGTGACGAACGTCCTATCAAAATTAGCCACTAACACGGACACCAATACAAGAATACTTACACTTTCCCCAAGCTGCGTAGCATGGGATCGTTGATCTCTTCTCTAACACGGTCAAGCAAAGCCCGCGTGGCTTTCTCCTCCCACCCGCCTAGTCCAAATAGCCTCAACGTCCAATTCTCTATACCTGGTCCAAGTCAGATTAGCGTGTGCGACTTGATGTTTCAGAACCGCAAATGGCACCTACCGCACTCGACCATCTCCGCCAGGGCCTTGCGTTTCTGCTGGGTGACCGGGTCACTTCCCCAATTCTGTATCGGTAGCCAATCTACCCGAACTCGGATGAGATCGGCTCCCAGGGTGTTTAAGATTTCAGGGACTCTGGGTATGGGGTCGCAGTCAATGCCGAGCTTGATACACATCTCCTCAAACATCTTCTCGTACTCTCTGCAGGCTGCGCCGACTTCGCCTTTTTCTCCTGATTCGGAATCGACGTGATCGGGATCCGCGTCGAAGAAATGGGGTCGTATCTCTGCTATTTCGATCTGCCCGCCGGGGTTGAGGTGCTCGTAGGCTTCGGCCAGCAGAGCGTTCCAGTCACGAACACCGCCACCAGCTAGACTGCGCATGTGTATAAAATCGTACGTACGGTTCGGCCAAGTTTCTGTAGCATCGGCGATCTCAAAGGTGACATTCGGAGGGACATCTTCTGGTAGCAATGCGCTGCTCAAGTCGATGCCGAGGATGTTGGTCTGGGGATACCGCTTCGCCATGTCGCAAGCCCATATTCCCGTACCAGCACCAACATCCAGTATCTCCATCGGATCCTCGGGGGTATATTGATCAAGCGGTAGTTTCGAGTCGGCAAGGTTGCCGTTGAGACACAATTGGTAGAGCTCATGCTGGACCGTCAAGCGATGCGCCTCGGAAGCATCATTCGGCGTGAGAAGCTGGCCAGAGCCGTGGTAGGTATGTCCGTATTCGCGAATCAGGGGAAGCGTGTCTTCGGAAATAGTCGAGTAATTGGACGTCGTATCGCTGTAATCGTCATCGTCCTCAGCAGGACTCGCATCATCCACCGTAAGCCGATTCATCCTTTGCAGCCCATCGTTTGACTGCGCCATATCGCTCTTTGAAGTCGCAGAAGAAGCTGTGATGGAAGAACGATCCGGATCGTAGCGGGACATTTGATGAGAGCTCGGTAGAAGGATCGACAAGGGGATATTAAAGCGAGATCAAGTTGGGGGCCGCCAGCTATTTTATGCACTTTGAAGAGGAAAAGAGAAGAAGATGGTATCGTGAGTTTGGTATTAATATTGGAATATAGAAAAGGTATCGAGAACGCGCAAGGAAATATGTCTTTTACGAACATCCATGGCCGAGAAGAGGATGAGAAAGAGAAGAGAAGAGAAGAGAGGGAGGGATTAAAGAAGGAGGAGATGAGGAGGAGAAAAGAGAAAAGGACGACGAGATGGAATTAAAACAGCTCGAATACGGATAGGTACAGTACAGTTAAGAAGTCACAGCGCAGCACAACTCCTCAGTTGTCTTGTCTTGTGTTGGTTGGAGTCTGAGGAAAAAAGAGTGGTTACCTCTACACTACCTACCTAACCTTGCAAAGTGGAGGAGCTTCACAAGGTAAGACAAGGCAGGGTCTTCTAGCAGATGATTCAAGTCAGCTAGGCCAGGGCACCTTGCATACCAAACCCAGCCATAACATTGGCCGCTATAGCACAGCTAGAGCTACCTAGTCTCCCTTAGCCTCGATACTCCAAGACAACTGCTCACAATAACACAAGCCATGTCGACTCAAACTAGGGACAGATCAAAACTAGAAGCTTTTCCAACCTTCCAAATACTCATTTACCCTTTTACCTTCAAGCCATCGCCTTCGCCGTCCCCGTAAGCCTCACTTTAACAATAGAAAACACACAATTCATCATCATTCCACTCATCATAGCAAACAACTTACTTCGCCCCCTCTCCGTTTAAACCCCTCTTTCTGTTGGAAACATCGGCAAGTCTGGGGAAACAAGTAAAGTTACCCGATACATGTCGGCCAATTTCAACAGGAAAAAAAAGACGCGGCCCGTTCTCAAAAGCTAAGCTACCCTAGCTCCCCATTGGCCCAGGCCCTCTTCACGGGCAAGATTGAGATCCGGTATCTCAACAGCGGGATTGGATGGTTGCTGGGCGCTTAGGGTGAAGGGTATAACCACGGTATGCATGAGATGACGCATACTGATGATATGATGTGATGTGGTTGTGAGTGAACCAACAACCAACAACAATACTTAACTTTATCCCTTCTGCTAATCTCTTGATCTTCTCTAAGCGATGTCTGTCTCATTCCCACCATCGTCCCCCCTGACCCTGTACGGCCTCTCTTTTCCGCCCTGGAGAGGAGAAGCAAGAAACCCTAACACGGGACAAAAATACTCAAGTAAATTAGATAAATTTCAGAGGCTCTGTGGTGAGTTTATTCTGGCATCCTGCGTCAAGCCCTTGCTCCGTCGGGCCTGTCTCCCACGAGGTTGCCTTGCCCGGTAGTTCAATCTCCTCTCGCCTTGAACTCTCTTTCACGCTCATGTAACCCTGACATGGTCTGTTCCCCCCTCTGGCCCTTGAAGAATATCATTTCTTTGCACGTCACGTCAGCGGACCCTGTTTGCCGTTCCCCGGGTGGACCACCAAAGCAAACCTCGTGGCCCCCTTGTCTTGTCATGTTCTAGACCACGTCAAGGCCAAAACGTGGCTGTCTATTCCAAATATCGATCATCATAAGAACTTCTCATTTACATGGGTCATCCAGGTTCACAACGCGTTGGAATCTCGCCTCGTTTGGAGATCATGATGATCAAATGTTGAGGCGATGGATTTGTGAAAATTGTCTTGCATTCCCTCGCATTCAGTAAATCACATGCCATGGTGCGGCACAGCGGAAGCGGAAGCGGAACGGCTCGAGGGAACCATTGCATTTCGTGTCAGCCGTGTCCGATAAGGCATGTACGTGATGTGATGTGATGTGCTTCTGAGTCAAATGGACGAGACAGTCCCTTGCATTAAGCTATTCCCAGATACAACTATCTCGCCGAGATAGAGATGTCTGCTATTCAGTACAACCCAGAAGTCCTTGGCAACAAGTAATTGCAGCTCGCTCCCAAGACCCATCTCGCCACAGTAACTCGATCCTAACCCACTCGATAATGTCCCAAGTATTGATGCTGTTTCACACTAAAAAGATGTCCCAAATAAAAATAAACATAAAAAGGCCTCAAAGATGAAGCAGAAGTAGAAAGTTGAAGAGTGACTTGGTAGAGAAGAACGCCGATGCTATGACGCAACTGACAAGGCGCAACAAATGAGGGCTCGACCAGACGTCCATGATGGTCGACGTGTAAACAAGACATGCCACAGGACACACTCTAAGAGCACATGCCCGCAATGAACAAAGTATGCTGCGATGACACGCTGCAACATCGCGTGCTGCGAGACACGCCAATTGACCTGACAGCCAAGACCATCGTCGTCCGAGACCCAGTTCCTTCGGATGTATGCCTTTTTTCCTTTTGTTGCCTGTCTTGAAACTGGCTCGAGAAAAGAGCCCACAAATTGCCGCCCATCCCTAGTATCCTAAATGCTTGGTCCGGTCCGGTCCCCATTACTTTCAAGGATTCCTTCTCTTGCGTAAACCTCGTGGTATCCATGCAGCCATGCTCAACGTTGGCTCTCTCATGTTTCCATGTCAAATCGTAGGCCTTGCTCGTGATGCCCATCGTCAGAAACAGGGGCTTCTCTCATGTCGCTTCGTGATAATCCATATTCCCCTCGACACCATCAATGATGATGCGGGCAGTCGTACTCACTCCCCAACAAAATAATCATGCACACAAAACAGACCCGCCGCCTTCTCGTCCCTGTCCATTAAACAATGCAGAAATAAAAAAGGATTCTCACTAAGCATCGCTAGCCTGCCCAACCATTCATATGAATAATCTCCCTTCACTCCGGGCTCAGCGTCGTGTACATCCCCATATCCTTTGCTCAATTCTGATCGTTGTGTTCCCCTGCCAAATACTGATCGCGGTTTTTTCTCGTTCAGTTCTTATTGCGAACCAGACATATCGTCGTTCTCAAATGCCGTCATCTAGTAATATTCATGGCCGTCGGTTTCTAGTAAACCCGACAATGCCTTGGTCGTGTTCGTATGAAAAGTCGCACTAGGCAGCTTCCTTCTTCGGCTTGCGTTTATTCCCAATCCTCCCATCCGTGTGCTCGTCATCGGGGTTCCACTCCTCGGGGTGAAAGTTGGGATTGCAGTAGTGAGCCCGGTTCCAAATACTGTTCTTAAACGTGTTTGTCGTCACTTGATATGTCGATTCCGGAAAATTGTTCTTGCCCTCGTCGTAATCGAGCTGAACAGGAC